TCGGCCGTTGTCCTGCGGTCGCTCCGCGGTTGCTCTGCGGTCGCTCGGCCGTCGCCCTGCGGTCGCCCTGCGGTCGCCCTGCGGTCATCCTGCGGTCACCCTGCGGTCGCCCTGCGGTCGCCCTGCGGTCACCCTGCGGTCACTTTGTGGTCGCTCGGCCGTTGCCCTGCAGTCGCTCTGCGGTGTCTCTGCGGTCGTCCTGCGGTCGCTCTGACGCCTGAGAACAGTGGTGGTACATGATTATTTAGACATTTAAAAAACAATTAGAGAACTAAAATTCATAAACTTTTCAAAGGTGAGCAGATTGTGTTTTTTTAAAATGATGCCGTCTCATTGGTTTCTGGTCCATGAGTATATCTTCCTGCTCGTCCCTCTTTCCAAACACATGCATGGCAGTTTGTGGCTGATTTGTCCCGACCCTGTAGCCCCCAGACCACCAAACACCACCACCTCTGTTGACGGAGGATTTAAAAGGGCTTTTCAGCCCCTCTTGGTCTGATTCCTCATCTGGGACCAATTTGTCTCCAGTGACCCTCCTCTGAGGATCATGAACCCGTCAGGATCAGATCTCAGAGAGGACTGAGGAATACAGATTATAGATCCCATCTGGCTGGGAAACGCTGCAGGAGGAGCTGGAGGACAAACTGGAAACCTGGTTTGTGTGAAGCTAATGTGGAGCAGCAAAGACACTGATGGAAACATTCACCCTGCAGCATCATCATGTGTCTGATCTGTATCCCCTCTTAGTCATCAGCAGAGGGCTGCAGGTGGAGCAGTGGTTAGCACTGTTGCCTCACAGCTAGAAGGTCGCCGGTTGGACACCCGGGATCTTCCTGCGTGGAGTCTCCATGTTCTCCCAGTGCAGCGTGGGTTCTCTCCGGGTTCTCCGGCTTCCTCCCACAGTCCAGAAACATGCTAAAAAACACCTAAAAGCTTCAAAAAACAAAACTTAACACCAAAAAGTTTAATGTTACAATAACAAAATATTAAAACCTGGTTATTGAGGTGCCCAATCATCAAAAACATGGATTTTAATGCACCAAAACATAAAAAATTTGGATATTAATGTTCCATAATGTGAAAACTCTGCATATTAATGTGTTGGAATGTCAAAAGCCTGGATAATCAGCAGCTAAAACACCAAAAACCTGAGTATTTATGTACCTAACCATGAAAAAAATCTGGATATCTCTGTATGAATCATCAAAAAAAAAAAAAGAATGTTATGACACCAAAACTTCAAAAACCTGCACATTCATGAACAAAAACCAAAACAATTTTGAATATTAATGAATGAAAACATCAAAAACCTGAGCGATCTGACCTGTTCGTATTTCAGCAGTTTGTCCTTTGTGCTGCTGCTGTGAACAAAGGAGGATGAGTTAAAGTGTAGATGGTGAGCAGAGATTTGTCTTTTGTCTGATATCAAACATCTGCAGCGACTCTGCAGCTGAGATTCATCATCAGACGTTATTGTCTTTGTGTTTCACCCTCAGAGAGATGAGCTCATCTCACCGGAAGCCATTGGTTTTATGTTTGTGGTGTTTCATCAGCTCCTCATCCTCGGACTGTCGGCCCACGTGTCCTCTCTGGGCCGAGGCAGGGCGCAACGTTTTCCATCTGCGCTCGCTTCTACGCCGACGACACCCACATGTTTCCTACAGTGAAGGCTGGTTTGGTTGACTTTTGGTCTTTAACAGAGAGAAAAAAGAATTTTCCATTTTTCCTGGAAGGAGTCTGTTATTTGGTTCAGTTTCTAGGAAACATTAGACAGACTTCTGAAGCAGGAAGAACTGGACCGGTACAGGTTAGAAGCAGCAGAACATTGCTTTAAAACCTGATAAGTGATATATGTGAAGCTGATGCTTTTTGTCTGTCCTGAGTGAAATCACGGTTGATGTTCTCAGACTGTATTAATGGACAGTTACCACCATGCAGAAGTACATCTACTCAAATACAGTCATGTTTTCAGGTACTTGCACTTTGCTGTAATTTTTCCGTTTTCTCCTCCTTCATACTGTTTTGAAGTCAAATATTCTGCTTTTGTCTGACATATTCAGATCCTCAACACAGACGATATCTTCATCAGAAACTGACAGGAATCTCTTAAAGCCTGAAATCTGCCAGGAGGTTGGACGGACCTGCTGCTGGTAAAAAATCACTGAAATATCAGAAATAACCAGAAACTGTAAAACACAGAAGCAACTGTTAAACTTTCAGCTTTTCAACTGTAAATAAATGTTCTTCAGGTTTCTTCCAGAGGTTTCCACGTCTGTGTGTCCTCTGCTGGTTTAGTTTACCTGTAGTTTGACTTCACGTCTGCAATCTCCATGTTTGAGTTGCTTCTTGTTTCTCCTCCAGCTTTGGGTTTTGCAGCGCTGCATGACGGCATCAGATCCAATCTGGAAGCACTGTGCAAAATGGAAAGGTATCATCAAATCTTCTAAAACTGAGCCCACACTGATGGGAACATGAGCTTCAGTAAGATGTGTGTGGGCTGTTAAACCAGTCAGGAGGAGGTGAAATGGACCGGAACCGGACCAGTATGCGGCCTCGTTGTTTCCTAACAAATACATGCTGGAATTTTTAAATGCTTTTCATCTCACAGGTAAAAACAGCAGGAAGTACGAGTTCAAATCAGCCTGAAGTCTCCTCAGCTTCAGAGCTTCTTTCGTCCTCTGTTTTTCATTTCTTTTGTCTTTTCATCTCTCTACTGTTGATATTGGTCAGATTGCTGAATTTGTCTTTGCCACACGGTGGCAGCAAAAGCTCTGCCTGTTTTTTATCGCCGTCCACGTTGACCACTGGTGGCGCTGCAGAGCCATGTTGTTTTATTTGTACCCTATCTTGGAGGACAAAGCACACATGATGCTGCTGTTGGCTTTACGTTGTGGTCCACAGGAGGTGCGGATGTTCCCCAAAACACAGCAGAACAGACCAGAACCTGCAAAGATCAGAACCATCTTCACTGTCTACGGGTCGCTCAGAGCTCAGGCTCATTTCTTCAGCTGGGTTTTGGCTCTGCATGTCTGGATGGGCTTCTTCTTCTGAGTCCTAACAAACCAAACAATCAGAAACAAAATGTGGGAATAACAACATCCAGCTGCAGCTCATCAGGAACAATGAGCCACTGATCTGAGAACAGAACTAAGAACCACATGTTGCTGCAGACGACCCTCAGCTGCATTTCCTGCTCATGCTTCGGTACGTGCAGCGTTCTGCTGTGAGTACCTTTACTGCAGCAAAGACTCTGAGAAGTTCTTGCAGTGCAGTTTGGGTGTCTTGTGTCTCGCCACTCCCACCTCCCCGTCCTTCCCGTCCTCCCCCTCCTCCCCCGGCCGTCTATAAACCGGCCTCTCCTGGAAGCTGCTGGGAAAAGCAGAAGCAGCAGCAGAAGAAGAAGAAGCAGAAGAAGAAGCCTGAGCAGCAGCAGCAGTGGCAGGATTTTAGTTTTTTCATCAGAAAGTGAAGATGAAGGCGTGTGTGCTAGTCCTGGGTCTGTCCCTGGTTCTGACCGTCTGCGTGGCCCGGTCTCCCTACCAGGCAGTCCTGCAGCACAGCCGGATCAGAGGCCGACAGCAGGGGTGAGTTCCTCCCAAAACCTGAACCCTGTGGTCTGGTTTCAGGGATCCTCAGCTGAGAACTCACTGAACTCATATTTATTCTTTGATTTTTCCATCATGCTTCACGGCTCCTTTGCAGGGATTCACTTTGTTCCAGCAGCTACAATCGCAGCATAAAACATTTAGGCACAAAGTTTGCTCACTGAGAAAATAAAATGTACGAAAGATTTACAGCGAGGTCATGAAATGTCTGTAACACTGGATGTAAGAACTGCACAGTGAAAAAAAAAACTATGCAGGGTTAAATAAATAGTAATGTAAGAAATACAGAAATAATCCAGAGTGCAAAAACGCAAAAATAATTATTAAAAAAAAAGGTAAAAAATACACAGTGCCTAAATATGTAATGTGAAAAATCTACATACATGATGCATTATGTATGACCATTAAATAGCACTGTTTCCTTAAAAATATCACTATCTGATAGATACTTGCCATAATTTTCAGGGGTTTTTTTAACATATTTTTTCTGGCATCCTTGCAGCCCGATTTGTTTTCTTTTTTTGCAGCGTGCCTGTGAGCTGCTGAAGGAATTTAATTTAATGCTCATGTGTTTAACAGGAGGAGGCTGATCGCTAACAGACGCCTCCAACACGAACACAGTCTGGTTCATAACAGTTAGCAGGGAATGTTCCCACGACGCTAACTTCACCGGCAAGCGCTGCTAACATTGGAAGAAACCATTTTAATCGTCTATTCATAGAAGGTTTTAAGCATAATTTCAAACTGTTATATGTGCCCTGATAGTTCTGAGGATGTTTCCATGACACTGTTAGAAAACATTTAGTAAAACAACGGGGAAAATCTGGCAGCACATGAGCCAGAAAAGAAACTAAGAAGCAGTGGAATGGTTTAAAGACGAAAATAACAACAGTGAAAATAATAGAAAATATCTACAAACAATATTTTTCATATTTTACTAAAAACACCCATTTTTGATGTGGACATTGTTTTTTTTTTAGTTTTTTTTTTTAGTTACAGTCAACAGTTTTTCTGTAATTTTACTCGATACTTATCATCGAACAAAACACTGAAAATATGTAAAATAGTAAATAAAACACCAGTGAAAACAACTAGACTATATTTTACAGTGTAGATGAGAACAAATGAGGAACAGTCTCAAACCAACGTTCAAATAATGTTTTCTAGACGTTATCAAGGCCTCAGATGACAACGTTTTCTGTAAAACTTTCTGAGAATGATTTGGGAATGCTGCAACGTGAGAACAAACAACATTCTGGAAACCAAAAACAAGCTTTCTTAGGAAAACATAACCAGAACTTTCCCAGAACATTTCTGGGACCAGAACAGCTGCAGCTGGTTGAGTAAACATGTTCCGACTCTGAGTTTCCACCTGAAGCAGCTCCTAGACAGAACAATGAGATGCAGACGAGCACATCGAGGCTGAAGCCCAACGCCATCCATCACAGCAACACTTAACAGGTGACATGTGAACAGTGTTCTGTAGAATGTGGGTCCTGTTAATGTACATCGAGCGGAATGGGGCTGTGCACAAGCGTTTCCCCACAGGGACAATAAAGTCCAAATCTACACCTCCACACTGCTGTTCAGGTGGACTGAGAAACAATGAGCCGTTTGGGGTTAAAGCTGGGCTCGCTAGAACCAGTCAGGTTTACGGGCTGAGCTGTGAAAGGATGGTCCAGACGTCTGTATCAATATGATCACCTGTTGGTCTCCTATGACTCTGATGCTTTAGTCCTACACCTCGGTCATTTGGTCCCGTTCTTGTTTTATGTTGTGTTGTGATTAATATTTGTGTCTCATTTGTCTTTTGGCTCTGTGGTCATTAACTACAGATATTTAACTATTTACATGTTTACAACTT